ACTTGAGGAGGGCAGTGAGTGGCGCCGCCATGCCACCATAGCCGGCGATGAATTTTCGGTAATACCCGGTGAGGCTAAGGAATCAGCGCAGGGCGCGTGCCGAGCGCGGACGTGGCCAAGCCTCCACCACTGCGACCTTCTCAGCATCCATGGCGACACCCTCGGCGGAGATGATGTGGCCGAGGTAGGTAACGGATGGCTCGCCGAAGTAGCACTTGGATCGTTTGGCGAAGAGACGATGATCGCGCATGAGCTGCAGCACCGCTTTTGACATGTTGTAAGTGTTCAGCCCACGAGGGACTGTAGATTAGAATATCATCAAAAAAACAAAACAAAGCGGTGGATGAACGGCTTCAGCACATCATTCATGAGCGCCTGAAATGTCACCGGTGCGTTGGTGAGGCCAAAGGGCATGACGAGGAACTCGAAGTGCCCCCGGTGCGTCCGGAAAGCAGTCTTCACGACGTCGTCCGGATGCATACGGACTTGGTGGTACCCACTGCGCAAGTCAATCTTGGTGAAGAAGCTCGTCGACCACCGGGATTGGGAATTTGTCCTTGACGGTGGTGTCGTTGAGGGCGTGGTAGTCGACGCAAAAAGCACCAACTGTCGTCGTGCTTGCGGACTAGGAGCACCGGGGAGGAAAATGGTGAGGTCGACTCCCGGATGATCCCCTGGCCTAGTATGTCCTCACACTGCCGCTCAATCTCATCCTTGAGGAGCTGCGAGTACTGATACAGACGCACCGCTACCGGCAGGGAGCTTAGCAGGAGGTGAATCCGGTGGTCATGGCGGTGTGGTGGCGGCAGGGCGCGAGGCTCCTCGAAAATGTCCTAGTAGGACTGCAGCAGCTCCTCCAGGACAGCGCTGGGATCGGTGATGGTGCGAGTGGCCACGCCCCAGCTGCTCACACCGGTCCAGTGATGGGAGCGGCCATTGTACCAGAAGGACATCGCCAGGGCGCCGAAGTCCCAGATGATGGGCCCGAGCGTCTGCAGCCAATGAACGCCAAGGACCAGGTCGAAGCCGCCCAAGTCGAGCGCGAAGCAGTCGATGGAGAAAGCCTCGCCGCTGATGGTGACCGGGGTAGCGAGACAAACACCAGGGCTGCGCACCCGGTCGCCGTTGGCCACCAGCACGTTGAGGCCAGCGCGCGGGGTGACGGTGAGACCTAGGCGCTGCGCAAGCGCTGTGTGGATGAACGTATGGGTGGAGCTGGTGTCCACCACACCCACAGCTGAACTCTGCCCACTGTAACCTGCATCATCATGGAATCAACAGAGTTGAGGCCGGTTAGTGCATGGAGGGAGATCTCCAAGTTGTTGATCTCGCTGAGGGGGTCCTCCTCGCTGTCTGCCAGGTCCATGAGGAAGACACCACCCTTGGCGGCGCACTTGTGTTCTTTGCTGTAAGGCTCAGGGCAAAAGTAACACTGCCCGTTCCACCTTTTCTCCTCCATCTCTGCTGCTGTGAGACAGCGAAAGTGAGGTTACCGACTCTCCGTCTTGCCATCCTGCGTGGTGGCGCCCGAGGCGCTAGTGCTGGCCGACGCGCTGGCACGGTGACCCGAGGGTTTAGGTGTTGTGGAGCTGTCGATTGTTCATGGTGGTCAGTTGGCCCAAAATAAGGTTCAGCTTTGCATCCATGGCTGCAGGATCGGGAACGGTGCCGGACATGGAAGTCGATGCACCAGAGATGGTCTCCGATACCAAATTGATACGGTGTGGCTGCCGTGGGGAACACAGGGAGATCGGAGAAGTAGCTGAGACTGAGAATTGGAGCGGAGAGGGTAGCGAGGCAGTGGCGCGGTGGGGAGATTGCCGGTGGCAGCGGCCTCACCGCGCGCAGCCACCGTCGAAGAGGAGCCCCACCCGCTCGGGAGGTTCTATTCTTCTTCGACAAAACTGATTACATTCCTAAGTGCATCCTTTATAGTCTAGGTGCATTTCCTTCCTAATAAACAATGGTCCGGATCCTAAAAACACTCCCTGATTATTCTCTTACTAACACTGAAAACGCCTTAGCCACTGCTGGCCGTGACCCTGGCCATGGCCTTCTTCACCCGGCGCCTATATTGCCGGCCTATGAAGGAGTCCACAACATTATCCCATACTCCATACCAACTTCCCGATGTAGTATGCCCCTTTTGTGAAGGCTTTCTCCCCCATTCTGCAGCTGCCTCAACTTTAGCTTGCTACCTCAAAATTTTTGGATTAACACCATGGACATTGCATATAACAGACCTGGGCAGATCTTGGGTGGCACCTGATAATCTACATGAAGATCAGAATAATTTAGTACATGGCTCAATCAATCAGGGCATGAGGGCAGGATGATAACAACTGGGTGGTGTTCAGTTTTCCAAATTCAACAATTTATCTAGGAGGAGAAGGAAAACGAGCAAATGCATTTATATAAGAAAACTACAAGGTACATAAGTGATATGTCTCTTGAATCTCTTTTGATTACTGTCGGTATGGGACCCACAGGATACCCCGCAAGGAAGAGAGGAGATCTAGTCTAACTAGGATTCTTCCCATGTAATCTTAGTAGTAGTATTATTCTGTAATCTTACTGGGAACTCTTATTGTAAACCGACTAGGATTCTGACCTCCTGACTATATAAAGGAGGGCAGGGTTCCTAGAGAGGGGAGATCACGATTTCTACAACACAATAACACACAATCAATCCAACGCAAAGGCTAACGTCGACCGGATGTAGGGCTATTACTCGACCACAGTCGAGGGCCTGAACCAGGATAAATGGACTGTCTCTTGCGTTCACCGTCGAGTTCCGCATACGCTGAAGCCCGAACAATACTGCCCCGGGGACCCCCGTGGTAGGCTATCGGTGATCAAACATCAACATTTACTACGTATTGTAGCAATATAAGATAACATTGCATACAAATACTGAACATTGTTATAAGTTCATTAAATAAGCAAGAGGCGACCGTGACTGGGACGTACCACCATAAAACTCTTCTAGAATGTTTGTTGTACATAAGTATCTAATTGCACTTCTACAGTAAGGTTAGCTACTTAACAAGAAAGTATGCCTATTCCTAGCATATCCCATCATGATTGAAATTAAAAAAAAAATATGTGTCAAAATCCATACTCTTGCTCGCCCTTTGTATTTAGAACTAAAACAAATCATCCTTAACCAAATCTAATACTGATTGCATATGTTCCGGGAGCTAGGTTGAGGTCCAACCAGCGCGATGGAGGCGGTGGAGGTGAAGGCGGACGTGGTAGAGGTCCCCGCAGCGGCTCAAGCACGCAGTCGCTTGCGTGACCTAAGATGAGACATCGCCGATGGAGGTCACCGCGGCATCGGCTCTGAGCAAATCCCCGAACGCCTCGTCAGCGGTGGCCTACCATGCACCAACGCTACTCAAGGTGTCCAGCGTCTGCTTCATCATTGTCTGGAACCCCTCGAACTGAGTCGCCATCTTCTCCATCGTCACTGAGAGAGCTTCAATGGAGGTCATCATGTCTCGTTGAAACTTGGTTGGTTTCCGCTTTGGAGCCAGGACGATCCAAGCGGAAACAAAAAATTAGCCACGTGGCCTTGCCACTGCCCAAACTCAAGCAGTTCGGTGCACAAGGTAGACGTGGTCGGGAGACGGCGCCGGCTTGCTCCTGAGATCTATCGGCAGTCCGATGGTGCACCGTGGTCTCGTCGGGAGACCGTACGGTGAGAATCGACAGCTCCCAATATCAATTGTCACGATCCGGGTCAAGATCCTGACAGATATAGGGTATGTTCGGCAGGACTGAAAAATACTGTTCCGACTGATTGTTGTGAGAGAAAAATACTGTTCTGGCAGGACGTGAACAGTGATTTCGTGAGTGGCGGAACAAGCCAGCCGGCTGGCTTTAAGCCAGCCGAACACGCCCATAACTAAGTAGAATTAGAGGATTTGGGGAAAACAGAACAGAATGTAACAAGAGAAGGGAATAGAACAGAGTTCAGACTTGATTCATTTATGTTGTTTGTGTTATTCGATACCAGCCACAGCGCGGTCACCAACGTTTATATTCGCGCACCCGCACGGCTCAATACACAGCCACAGCCTCAGCCGAACCGGCCCATCACAATGTGAGCAGGCCCGCTAACTCGACACTACAGCCCCAAGGCTGACTACTTGGTCACTCGGTTCGACACCACCTATTGCCAGACACGCAACAGTCAAAGCCCTTCGCGCCTTCTTCATCTTGCCTGCGCTGCGCACCTGACACTTTATTACTGTTCTGTGTTGCTCTCCTTGAGTTTTAACACTTGTGTAAGATATATGTAGATGTTTGTTCACCTTGATGTCAAGCAACAGATGCTATGGCAGTTCAAGCATGATGCATGAAACCTTTGCAGAATTGCAGTTCCAATTCCGTGTCAATGCAACTTTGTTGAGCAAATAGCGAGGGTTATTATATTAGGACTAATTGATGAGGTCAGGTCGCTGCTCTAAAGTCGTATGATAAATTGCGCGTTCTACGTCATTGTGCCATCTATTCAGTCTTTTCTCAGACATGTTTCCTGGAATTGCCAGTGTCAGTGTCAGCTTATCGTGGATTCATACTTTCTTTAGGTAGTGGAATAAGCTTGCTCCAGCCTCTACAGCTGAAATACATATGGATGGGACGGCGCACCCTTTTTTAACTACTAGACTACTGGTCCAAGTTATTCAGGAAGTAAAGTGATTGGGAGCTATATATGTGCCTGCGTGAAGTTATGGCCGCTAACACTCTATCGTGAGCTTCGTTTTCTGGAACACCTACATACAAGAAAAAAAAAAGTTGCAGGACTATATCAGGCTTAGAAACGATGAGAACAACAGGTTATGTTACCATAATGCCCACCAATTCAATCGGGCATAAGTAAGCACTGCACCACAAACACAATCTGACGATGAGACTCTACTCTAACGCTAGGCTGAAAAGGCTGACTCTATCTACAGAACACTTGCTGCATGGGTCTGCTGGCGAAGGGTTCACAGTCACAGGGTCGGGGTAGGGCTCATGACAATGTGTCGCAGCGGGTTATCTACCTTGTCGTTGCCGGCTCCGGCGTGCTGCACAAACTCCAAAGGAGTAACGAAGCTTCCATGGCAGATGCATACGATTTTCACCTCTTCTCCTTCCCTGTATTTATACAGGAAGCCTTCAACCCTGTTGCCGTTGGGCAGCCCCTTGGTGAATACGCCCGGCATCTCCTGCATCAACCGCCTTTCCACGTCCCTCCATGCTGTTTGCCCTTGCAGCACAGCAGCCCTGCCTAAAATGCTTTGATCTCCCCTGGAACCAAGGGTTGCTGCTGTTCTGGGAGCCAAAGACGAAGACGGCAGTGGACTTGCTGCCGTCACGCTTCTTATAGCTTTACCGGAGGAGGGAACAGATGATGACGACATGTGCTCCTCAGTGATGGCTGCTCCTAAAAAAAATCAGGAATGAGTATAATATAGAGCTTAATGATAACAAACAAAAACAAAATCCAATGAAGGGAAGAACCACTAGAATAGAAAGTGTTCAATCATACACAAACAGCTCACATCTATAATAACTGAACGAACAATATAAGAATCCAGCCTCCATCTATAAGAGCTGAACATTATAGAATTTTGAATCTTCCAGATTCAGCGAGGCACTTATGGCATGAAATGTCTAGTGACTATTGAAGAGGACCCAACAGAGATTCTCACACAGCATAGCCTTTGTTTAGCTAATAACCACTAACTTCAAATATATGTAAAACATCTCGATGCATCACATATATACATCTCCTTATTAACTTATAAGATCATAGACGTAAATAGCATTGATCGTCGGGCCCTAAGTCCTAATTTAAGGGCAAATATCAATCCAGTTCATTCATGTATTACACCTGTGGTGCATTGGCAAGATTCATGTTTTTGGAAGCATGGGAAATGGGTACGGAGAATGCCTAAACGGTGTACTTAACAAACAAAAGGGGATACCTTTGAAGGCTGAGTTTGGCATCTTTCCCACTGCTGACAAACTATCTTGTGATGATGTAATTGTAGCCTGGTACTTTGGGGGAAGCCCCTTCGCCAGATGCTTGCCACTGCTATGATTTTCGTTAGTGCCCAGAACAGCTCCGTCACAACTTACTAATTTGTCAGTGTGCGCATTCATCTCTTCTGGAATCTGCCCAGCCACTTCTTTTGAAGTGCTGCAAGTGAGAGAGTTCCTCCTCTCAATCCTTTTCTTCTTAACCTCGAGTCTCTTCAGACTATGTGCTTCCTTCCGTTTCTTCCATTCTTCATTGCCAGCAGCCTCAATGACAGCAGGGAGTGAGCTAGTCCTCATGAGGGTGCCACTGCCTGAAATATTCAGTAAGTATTTACAGATATTGGGAATTTGTGAAAAGCTGTTGATGTTCATTTCAGGCAACACAGAGATATTCGATTTCTCAACATGTGATTGTTACCTTAAAGCATGTATTCTTTCTGTTTATTTACATTGCCATTAAAATTTTAACGAATGTACATAGTAACTTAATTAAAAACCAATTAGCAAAACTACAATTTTTTGAAAGTACTTTAGACACACATCTGTGCATATTGCTTCTGCACATAAGTATTCATGGAAATATCAAATACTAAACTTCAAACTGTTAGTGCATCACACAGGTAACTACTAATCTTTTCTCAGAGATATTTGATGAAGAAATACACACCTATAACAGAAAGAATGACTGAATCAACAGAGTTCTCTGCAATAAAATATTATGCCGCGCTACTTAACACAGTTTTGTAAAATAATTCACAATTACTACCATTTACCAAAACGATCACAATCGGCACTGCTAAGCACGGAATCTAAAAGCCAAATTAACTATCAAGGGTCGCAAAATACTAAATAAAGATAGTATAAACCCCACAAAGAGAAGCCGCAGGCACCTTGCAATCTCTGCCCATCACCTTCCGAAGAGGCAGAGGCGGGCTCCCCCGCTCGCTGGGAGGGAGGGAGGCGCGGCACCTCCTCCGGGGCGGCGCCAAGACGGCCGCCATGGACGACGTCCCGGGAGCTTGTCCCCATCCGATCGATGCCGAACAGGCCGCCTAGAGACAGCCCAAGACTTAGCTCTACCTCCTCTTCCATCTCCTTCCGCAGATGCCCCGGCCTCTATTCCGTGGTGGCGCGTCTCCCTTGCCGATGCCGCGACAGAAGTCCCTCGAGAACCCCTCCATCGCGAAAGCGCAGCTTGTCTCAGAAGCCTCGGGCCTCAAAGAACATCCGAGAAGCGCTGAAAGGCGGGCAAGAGCCGAGGACGCCGCAGAGCAACCATTCCCGGCCAACAAGAGAGAGAGGGCGGAGCAGAGGCTGCAGGATGAGAGGCGACTTTACAGGTTGCACTGGAGGAGGGAGCTAGGAGGCCGCCATTGAGAGGTACGCGCTTCTGCTTCTCCTCGCCGCAGCCTTGAGCGACTGACTCTCGCGGGGAACAGGAGGCAAAGCTTTCTGCTCGTTTCTGGGCTTTTGGGGCATGCGGTTCTGCTGGGGATGGCGAAGACGGGCAAGGCCTGCCTCACGACGACGCAGCGTGTTTATGCGCGGCGGCCGACGCGTGGTGTGCCAGCTTATGCGCCACACAGCGGCATGGCAAGGGAGCCGAGCGGGATGCGGTGGGCTCGCCAGCCTCGGCTTGGGCTGAGCCGTCGAGTTGTGGACGGGCGCCGTGACCGGTGGATGCCCAACACTCCAACAGGCTGATCCCTCGGTAGATTGTAGGAGATCCAAGGACCTCCTATAGCCATCATGGCTTTTTTTTTTGAAATGCTACTCTAGGAAGCCCTCCTTTGGTCCGAGGAGATCTCTTATCATCTTCTTTATCTTCGACGTGAAATTTTTATCGTCATCTTCGTCTCCGGCGAGATCTCTCATCATCGTCTTTATCTCCGGCGGAAATAGTCTTCTCTAGTGAGTTCAAGTATCCAGGATTTGTTTGATTCTAGATGTTTTTAGGTTTAGAGGTTGGACCAAAGGAGTAGGGAAAGATGCTGGCAAGGTATCTGAGACGATAGTTGAGTGAGTAGCGGAACGCCACTGGCAAGGGTGATAGTGGATGGTCTACGGAAGGCTTGAGGTTAAGGTATGGCGGTAGTCATAGTGGCGGCGGAGGCTGGGTGGGGGTTTGTGGAAGGGGGAGGAGGAAGAAAATGAAGAAAGGGAGGAGGAAGAAGAGTCATATGTCACCCTCGTCGGCAGAGAATAATATGTTGTACGAGAGATTTTAGAAAGAATAAGACTAGTCGAAGAAGATATAGCGGCAGAAAAGTCGAAACGTGTCCAGTATGGGAGGAGACAAACTTTCATGTACATTATAGATTTTATTCTTTAACATAAGATTATTTCAGTGCAAAAGAAGAAATACTTTCACATATTCACTAGCTATGGTATCTTTCGTTCTTAAGCCATATTTACAATTATGATGTCCTATTAATTTATTGATGACTTAAATATAACTCAAGGCTTATTTTATGTATTTGGAAACTTTTAACCAATTATATGTTATATGCTTGCTAAAAAATAAAAATTACTTGAGTTAAATGTTTCATATTTCCGCTAATTACAGATATGAGTTTCGCTAAAAATAAAACTTTGTTGTATTAAATTATTGACTCACGACATCTATAAAAAAATATATAATAATTAACTAACAGACTTATATATTATGAAAGTATTTCTTATTAGATATAGTGATGCTGCCAACTTTGTGTTCTAAATCTATATAAAATTTTATACATTGGTGGTCATAGTTCAAATAAATAGTCTTAGACAAACCTAAATGAATTTATATCATGACCTGAGGAAATATACACTAGTGGTAGGACTCCACTTATAGCGCAAAGTGGTAGCATTTTCCCTTCACGTCTATTCCTTTGAACACTCCCAAAGATAAGAGCCAAAGGGTGTAACAAAAAGGTATCAGTTAGGTTAGGCTTGATCATATACAACATAATTCGACCTATTTAGTATGCTGCAATTGCCTCGAGCTCCAACATTAGACCAAAATATGAAAGATCCTAGAAATACCATAAAATTGAATATAAAGTAGATTCCGACTTCCTCTTATCTATTTCTTGCCGTTTGTAAACCTCTCGTCTCTGACACTTTATCAAATCTAGTTTATGCTTAGGGCTTTGAATGGGTGAGAGCTTCTAATGTTCTCCGGTGATAAAGAAAACCACTATGTGGCGGTCATGGAAAGAAAATAACAAACTTCGAACTTTTATTATGGCAATGACTTTAATACGGGCATGCCGACGATAAACGCACGACACGCTCCACAAGTTCTTCCCCATCTCGACCGCCCGCGCCCTCTCTCATCTTCATCCTCTCTCTCTCTCTCTCTCTCTCTCTCTCTCTCTCTCTCTCTCTCTCTCTCTCCCCCCCCATCTCCCTCTCCCGTCGACGACCTCCTCCCCAACTCCAACGAGCGAGTGGATCCGGCGGCGGCATGGAGGATTCGGTTAGATTCGGCAGCGGCCATGGCGGATCCAGCAAGGTAGACTTCCTCCTCCTCCTTAGGATTGCGACGAGCTCTCCCTCTCATCTTCCCAAACACCGGTGGCATTAGAAGGAAAGGGGTTTAGGGGAGGAAGGCCAGCCAGGTAGTGGGGATGCCGGCAGGCAGTTTAGGAGCCTTAGCGGCGGTGGATGCGACCGGGCAAGGTCGGGGCGCGGGTGCCATGGCCATGGTGGCAGCGGAGGGAGGAAGGGGAAGGGGAAGAAGGTGGCGCTACATGCAAGCTAGGGTTTCACCAAAGTTTCACGGTCGCGGCTATAGATGGCCATAAGGCCCACGGTCCATCAACACGGCCCACGGCCCCGCTGTTCTAGCCCGGCCCAGGCACGGCCCGGCACGATGACTATCGGGCCCGTGCTAGCCCCGCCCGACTCTAGGACCGTGCCTGGGCCTCTACCTTGGGCCGATGTTGGCCCAGCTCGGCTCGATCAGCCACCTTTATTTATTTACTTCCCATATATATAAATATATGAAAACCCTAATTTACTCATCACGATCCCGGCCGCCGCACATCTGTTCGGCTATTCTGCTATGCGGAGTCAGTCGCACACCTTCCTCTTCCCCTGCGCTATACTCTGATTTCTCTGCTCCCCTCCACCACGCATCCCGTAGCCGCACGCGCTTTCCCTCTTGCGGCCGCTCGGCCCTCTAGCTCTGATTTCTCTGCTTCCTCCGCGGATCTGATGTGCGACGCACAACACCGGCGCCAACTGCAGCACGCCATGGCTCCAACACCGGCACCCCTAGGCAAGCGACGGCAGCACGCTCCAACGCGCGGAGCCCCTCTTCTCTACCTATGCGTGCGATAGCGGCAGCCTCAGCCAACGTGGGCGACAGTGGCACGTCGAGCCTAGCAGGCCGTCGGGTCGGGCCGGCACAGCCCGCCCCCTTTAGGGCCGTGCTTGGGCCGTTTGGTGCAACCCGTGGGCTCACACGGCACGGCCCGATGCACCTGATAGGTCATGCCGGCCCACTAACCTCCAGGTCGTGCCAAGCACGGACCCATGCCATGCTTGGGCCAGGAGGCCCGAATTGCCATCTATAGCCGCGGCGGGGCGGTGGGCGGCAGAGGGGACAAGGGTCGCCTAAGAGGTAGAAGGTGCCGGCGAGGAGGAAGAAAGGGAAGGGGCGGTGCGAGGAAGGAAACGGCCGTGCGGCACACGTAACGCACACACGGCCGTGCGTTAGCCACATCCTTTTACTACATAGATCGGTATAAGAAAGTTATTGCTTACATATTCAAGCTAATTTCTATTTTAACACTGGGTGGCAAATTAGGCATTTTTATCTAAAATCCTAATCTTCAAGGGTCTTGTTAAAATATTTTAAAAAATATTTACTGAATTTCACTGGGCATCGGAAAAACCCTGTGCTGGCTACATTTTAAGAGGATACTTGCTTAACGGAGTTAGCGCCGTTGTCAGCTTGTGGCTCTTCAGAGCAGCAGACATCAGCTCGGCTCGGCTGGGGCCGAGAACAGAGGAGCACCGGGAGCCAGGTCATCTCTAGGAGATCGGCGCCGATCAGGAGAAAAAGACAGGGCCACGTCCTGCCACATAGTGACGAAACCAGCCAACTTGTCCGGTCACTGCCACATAGCCACATAGAGACCACACCAGCCAACTTGCCCGGTCACACTTCAGGTACGTGCCACGCCTTCTCCGTACGCTTTCCTAGCGCGCCGCTTTCCACCGAAAAACTAGCCCCACGCAGTGCAGGTATACCCCACGCCATCGGTAGCTGCCGGGTTTCCTAGAGCAAACAAACTGCCCGCCCGCCCCGCAGCCCCCGCACAAGGAAAAGCCAAAGCAAAACGGCAAAAACCCCGCGAGACCCCACGTCCACGTAGCTAGCGACCTAGCGTGCCGCCGCTCTCGCGATCGCAAGGACGCGACCACGCCGCCATCGCGCGGCCCGCTGACCGCGACACCGTGGGCGCCAGTGCGAAAGGCGCAGTCCTTCCTCGCCGTGACCCCACCGGCAAGTAGCAGGATCTCCGCACGGGAGATCGAGATACGCTCACGCGGGCCGTGGCTCGCGCGGCGCGGTCGCTGTTTCGCAAAAGCGGGGGCCGGGGGTGTGCTCGGCGCGGGCTGCGGCGTGATTGGACGGATGGCCTGGATCGGGCGGGCTCGAAGGAAGGGACGGCCGGAACCGAAAGAGAGCTAGCTGTCCCCACATCGATGGATGGTGACAGTGGCTGATTAATGATCGCTTTTCAGGGAAGACAAGTGGCCTCCCTGATTAAGATGAGTCTGGTCTTAGTTTAAGCTTTTAATGGGCTGCTTGCTTGTGGATCTACCATGGCCCATGGGCTAATGGGGTGGTTAGCTAACTATACTGGAGTATATGTGACCTCACTGCTCCTATCGGCACTCCTACAGTCCTACGTACTGATGCTGATGCTGACAGACTCAAATAACTGAGGCCTTCAGAACGCAGGAATTTCCCATAAATTATACAGGAATTTTATAAGCATCAGGCATAGGAATAGGAAACAGAAAAATCCCTGCTTTAAAAATTGGACCTAAATGATCAGCAACTATAGATACCTATGCATACGGACGTGAATAATCGAGTGATCAGCGCGCTTTTATATAACCATTAAAACCATAGGGCATACGCGCTGGTAGCGCGAGTACATCATACCTCACAGTTCGTTACGATCCATTAATCGATCGACTCACAGAATCGTTCGTTACGATCCATTAATCGACTCACAGAATCACGGCACTGTTCAAAGAATCCTTAGCCCTAAAAGCTAGCACACCAATTCACGTCCCAGTAACTAATACTAGTCAAAAGAATCCCTCCGGATTGTCTGGTAATGTACCTTTTGAGAAGAAAATTTGTAAATGTCTACTACAGTCTACAGTTTGCTGTACATGAAGCGAAGCAACACAAACATGAAGTACTACGTTTTTTTTTTTTTTTAACTAGAACATGAAGTACTAGTTGATATACGGAGCAAGTCACAAACATTAGGTCATCTTAAATTTCAGCCTTTTACTCTTTACCGGAGGAGCCAAACCAAGGTCTTTACAGAGGTGCTCGTCACTCGTCAGGCTGCAGCGTCTTGGGAACAGCACCAAATGCACAGCGAGTGACTTCCAGACCTGAGCGGGCTTGGTGCAGGTAAACTGGCCAATTCTTAGAAAAGCAGGCAACAAAGCCCTCGAGTTTTGATGGGTCCTGGACTCACATGAGGATTTATATCAGCAGCCTCTCAGTAGAATGCAGAAAGATTACCCAATTTGCAGCCTCATTTAGTAGAATGCACAGACTCTGGAACCTTAACAGTTCTGATTGACTCAGCACAATGCCCCATTACTCTATGGCTTCACATACTTGTCGACATACCCCTGAAAAAAATAAAACAAGTCAGTGGAGCCAGATATTTATTGAAACAAACATGTGCTGAACAAGAAAATAGCACGGTAGAAAGCTAAAGGAGAATATGGTACCCTTGATTTAGAAATATCAGATTTGGGGGCTGAATCACATTTTCTTATGTAAACAGTGTGATACAAAGTTTTCTCATTCCAGAAAAAAGTATGTGAGCTCAAAACTTGCAAGCACAGTATCAGATTATAGCTTGAAACATTTCTAACTTGACATGTATGTCACCCACTTATGTGGGGCCTATTGATCCAGACAGATTTTGAATCCCATGATGGAATTCAGAAACTTAAATCAAGATGTCAGTCCAAGTTATGAAACAAATTACCATATGATGACCAAACAAGATAAATGTAGACAATATACTCAATTAAGTGACAGTACCAGAATGGAGATTTCACATAAAAATATAAAGACACGTTGTTAAACTCCACTAAATAATTACCAAATGGCTGGATGACAACATAACACGGACTTCAGGACATCAGAGCTTAGGAGCTTAATAGCATGGCACCAACTAATTGCGACTTGTGTTTCTCAGTATCAAATATCAAGGGCATGGCATAATTTCCACTTCTCCACGATGTTCAGGTGCTAAACAGTTCACATGCCATGAACAAGACTATTGCATAACATATTGTCACAGAATGCTACAAGCATATGAACAGAAAGAATATGTACGCAAATAGCCAATATTCTAGACATGTGACAATAGACATACCATTACTAATTTGGTCACCTTCTTTTGAGAGGATTGTACATAATGTTTCATCTTGGCAGGTGTTTTCGGAATATGACTGCTAGGGACTGAATTAGAAACCTTATCAACTGTTTTCCTGACAATAGTTTTGAAAGCCTCTTTGCTCATGTTACCCTGCCTCCATGATGGCTTAAGAACTTCCTTAACAAAATCAGCAATAGCAATCTTAAAAAGCTTCATTGACCGGGAGTCTTTACCCTTCTTATTTTTGTCCAATGTTTGGTCATTGTCAACATCACCAGGGATATCTGAGTTCCAGTCTTTAGCACCCAAAAATTCAGGACTTGCATTCTCCACCACACCTGTCTCAGTATCTGCTGCCACCTCTCCAAGTCCCTCAACTTCTGACTCAGCAACAACCCCCAGTCCATACATATTTTCAGTGTCCATTTCTAGGTTCATAAGTTTTGATGCATCACGACTATCAGCAGCACTCCAGTTCTTCTCTTTACGAAGATCTACCTTGTTGATTGAACTGCTTGATGGTTCAATACTGTCAAGCAATGGATCATATGGAGCACCAGAAGCAAACTCCTGACGGAATAACTTTTGTTTATTGGGCACAGGTTCTGCAGAACTTTCATGGGCATGTGTTCTGGATCGACCAAAAGGAGACAGTGTATTCATATGTTCTGCTGTTGTGGAAACAGAACCAATTGCATTAGGGCTTACAGGATCCCCAATATCTAGACTTGGATCTGTTTTATCAAAGGTTGATGCAAATGGATTGTAGTGGGGTTTGATAGACGATTTAGTCAAATCGACATCAGATAAGGGACCAAGATTGTTACTTCCTGGTAGATTTGATGGAAATCTCTGGAAAGAAGGATAAACCAAGTTACTTCCTGAATCCAGATTCACAGGAGGTTGGTGCTGACCATATGGAGGCTGATGAGATGAATAAGATAGACCTACACCAGAAGGCTGCTGGTTAGAAGGAATTGCTGGTGGGAGAGTATGATGATGGAAATTGAATGGTCTAGGATGAGACACATCTTGTGGAGGGTAGCTTCTCATCTGGTTCTGCAGGAACTCATTTGCTGGTGCAATAACTTTATGCTGTAACTGCATTTGAGGGAATTCTGATGTTGCAAATGTTGGTTGTCCTGGCGGCTGAATCGTATTTGAGGATGACATGTGTTCAGGAGGACACAAACTCTGAGGATGAGGCTGGAGATGATCAGATGCCATGGAGCTCTTGGTAGTTTGTACAGACATATATGGGACACCTGCAGCAGGTTGGCTCATAAGAATTGGGTCACCTGCTGATGAAGACACATTTAAGTCTGATTGAGATTCTGATGGGGGGCATGGCCTTTGCATCTTATGAGTACCAGCAGAAGCAGCCACTGGTTGTGAATGCTCAGAAATTAAATTGTCACTGTGACAGTGCTGCCCAAGGGCAACATCAAACGCAGCATTATCTCCCACTTTGCCAATTAAATCATTAGAAGAACTATCCAATTTTGATGTCAATGCCAGGCCCTCTTGCTGAGCAACTTTACCTCCTGAATCATTGCCATCACCAGCAGGATGAACCTGCTTAGCAAATGGTGGCCTGCTCTGCTTTCCAGGTGAGGAACTGAAAGAAATTTAATACTGTTAGACTTCCAAAGGGAGCAAGATATACATATCGAATTCCATAACTTATAACAAATCTAAATACAGAAATACAATTACAAAGATGAACTGATGCATCTATTTAAAGTTCAAGGTAAGGTACAAGGCATCATACCTTTGGGATGGGCTGCACTTGTTTGCCCCCACTGGACTACCACTTCTACCCTGAGGTGACTTGCTCCGGGTTCGTTTCTTTTGTCTCCTCCCATGCCTTTTACTACTTTGACCTCCCTCAAATTCACTGTCACTTGTATCTTCTTTGGCCAGATGCCCAAGCACATCTGTGCCATGCTTCACTGGGTTGCTCTCATCCTTCAGATGATAATTTTCAGCCTTACCATTTTGCTCAGTGCTATGAGGGGTATTCACATTTCCTTTTGCATCAACATGTTTCTGATAATCGACTTCAGTATTTCGATCACTTGAATGACTGTGCATGTTATCTTCAGGCAATATCACGAGGGTGCTGGCACCCTCAGGACCAGCATCGGTCTCATTTGCACTGTCATCGGAGGCATAACCTTGTATTAGTCGGAATGCGCTCCCACCGTCCTCAGTTGCATGCGCAGATTTAGCATTCTCACCACTACCAGGTGGCAAATCCTTGCCCGGGCTTGAAACATCACTGATAGACTTTGACACATTAACATTTCCAGCACATTCAGCAGTCACGAGCGAAGAATTCTCTGGGGTAAGGGGCTGCCTTGATGGAGAGTCCTCATCCCCTGGAAATTGCCATGATAAAATAAATGTTTAGAAACATGATGAAGTGAAAAAGAAAATTAAGCTGAAACGCCAAAGTCAGGTACAACATTCATGCACAGTGATGTTTTTCATCGTATGAACTATCAGTTGTCATTGCTGCGATGCCAAATGCAGCAGTGTGAATAAAGTGCAAGCTTTAAACAGAGTCATAGTACCACTGTACTGAGATGGGGGAGGAGGGAAAGGGGAGTGCTAACCATCCATATCCATATCTGAGTCATCAGAAACAATTAGCTGAGTAGCTGGTTCCAGAGTTTTGGCAAAACGACCACCATCAGATGCGCCTTCTTTTGCTTCTGCTTCTGCGTCCCATGACTGTGCAACACCTGGTGTGTGAGGAGGAGACTGTGATGCTGCTGGTGGTGGTGGTGGTGGAGGAGGAGGAGGAGAAGGTGGTGGGGCAGATGGCCGAGGTGGCGGTGGAGGGAGGGGCAGATACTGTGGAGGGCCTGATGCATAGCTTGTTGCGGAGGCAGCATCCCTGGCATTGGCATGGGCGCATAACCTCTCTGCTGCGGCAGCATTGGCATCTGGTGCATCTGACCATGCTGCGCAAAGGGGTATGGCTGGTTCTGAGGTGGCAGCACGCCATGCTGGTATGGCCCAGGCGGAGGCCGCAATCCAGGGTGCTGTGGGTATGGCGCTGGCAGCGGTCGCACAGGTTGCTGGGGAAAGGACCCAGCCACCCCAACTTGCTGCTGGGGCGGCAGCGGCGCGCCATGGCGATAGTGTGGATTGAAGCTCCCTCCCTGCCCGTACATCTCTAGCTCCGGAATCAATCAATCCCTCCCGCGAAACTTCCTGCAGAGTTCAAATTCCAATCAGACCTTGTCAACAGTCAGCGCCCAATTAAAACCAACCAAAACAAAACCACGCACACCCAGACACAAGCGGATAGCGCGATTGCCCCGCTGAAATCACCTCACAAATTCCAAACCCTAGATCCAACCGAAGCAGGGATCAAACCAATCGTCGTAGCATCGGCTTCATCGCCACAGACAGAGCTACCAAGGAGGAGGAGGGGGGTTCCGCGATTACCTGCTACGAGTCCGGAAAGGAGACCCCGCTGCGCCCTGCGGGAGGCTCGGATTCGGGTCGGAGCGGAACCCCCAGCTGCTCGCGATGGCCTGCGACCCTCTGGGGGCCCCGGCGCGATGGGGCGGGATAGAGCGACGACGGCGCTAGGTCGCTGGGGTTGGCTAGGATTGCGAGATTTGTGAGCAAGGACAGCCTGACGGGTCCGTGCGACGACGGTGCTAGAGAAACTGGCTTTTTGGGTTTACAACGGGAGAAGGCAATGACGGGGCGGAAGCGGCACACATGTTGGAGAATCTGGGCCGCAACTAATGGGTCGGACGGTGAGGATCTCCCACGAAGAATAAAGGGCGAGGTAAAGGCCCCTCTCTCTCTAGACCATAGAAATTTTTCCTAAGTGAAAATGATCTTTGAAACAAAAGGTTGGTCATCCTAAAATCCTACAAAATTTCAATGGAATGGTTCAATTCACAAGAATTTTGTGGAAAATTAACCTCTTGGAAACTTTATTTTTGTCTCTCTCTCTCCTAATTCTTGTAGAATTGCAAGTGACATGTAACTCTAATCATATGTTTTAGATATCTGGTGTTCCAATGAGACCGTAAATATATTTTTTTGCAAAAGGGGCTTCTTCAACATTCGTTTGATATAAAAATTGTAACTACAAAATCCTCCTGATGCGACACAACGAAGGAGAAAATAAAGAAGATCCCGAGAGATCTGAGTAGTATTTTTCGGATAACCAGAAGCTATGAACACCATATTCAAAGATAAACAGCCTTAATATTCCTTGCTTCCAAGATAGTTCTTTGTGCCTTGGTAATATATGATAATGATGACACTATGCTCCATATTAGGGTATTTACACAGAGAATGGAAAAAAATTGCAGAAAACAAAAGTATTATACAATACTTGCCTTATGTAACACAATGGGATTATTTAGCTACTATGTTTACGGAAGCAATAACGGCAAATGCATCTGAATTCTTGGAGAATATTCAAATACCCCAAAGAGCCAGTAAGGATGGCAACGGGGCGGTTTCGGGTTGGATATTCGCGGGTTTCGAGTCTTGCGGGTTCAGGGTTCGGGGATGATTTCTCAACAACGGTTTTTGGGTTCAGGGCCCCGAAACCTATCGGGTTTGGTTTTCCACCCGTGGATATCCAATGCATATCCGAAATAAATCATTTGGAATTAAACCTCATATTTTATAATATGCTAATAATAACTTATTTACTTAGATTATTAAATTTATTCTAAGTTTGACCCATGAAAATATTTTTTTTGTTGTCTCTTGATTAATGTGAATATGTGTATATATATCATGCATATGTTTATAGAAAGTCCTTTTTGCTCTTACTATGTTGCCATACAAAGCGGGTTTCGGGTATCCATTCGGATTTCGGGTATCCACGGGTGCGGTTTTGGGTTTCGATTTCGGGTTTCGGATTCGGGTGCACAGAGACTCCACCCGATCCGAATCCGCCCCGTTGCCACCCTAAGAGCTAGCTATATTAGAGTAATTATGTTAGAATTGAGCCGTATAGCTTCTCATTTGTTATGGCTTGGACCTTTTAGGGCGGATCTCGGGGCACATACTCCTTTTTTCTACATTTTAGAGATAGAATATTGATATATGATCTATTTGAAGCTGCTATATTTGAAGCTGCTACAGGTATGCAAATGATGCATAATTACTTTCGCATCGGAGGGACAGCTGCCGATCTCCCTAACGGATGGAGTCAGGTGCGATGCAAGTGCCCCCTATTAGTCAAGTACCCCTCTTCCTATTTTGTTTAGGGGTTAAAATGGCTCGATGAACCCTTCCGTTTACACACACCGGCCCCATTCACTTGCAACTCGTAGAGGCTGTAAGTAAACAGTGCCCCACTAATAAATTCAAAGTGACGATGGGGTTGAAAGACGAGAGTGCCTACCCCCAAGCCGAGAGTGCCCGCCCTTTCTATCAAGTAGGCTATTTTTCCTAACGCAGTCCGGAATAAGCGTTCATGTGTATATAGATATCTTCGATGCTGTCATTTCGAAATGTCCACTTCCTCTTTCAACTTCCAAAAAGCAAAATTGGCTTGATGAGCGCAGATGAGGAAGAGGGCACTAAAACCAAGAATCTCTTTCTTTTCTAAATACTTACTTTATTAAGATTAAGTTAAGGGGCAAACAGAAGCGTTTTCGCTAAGCGAAAGGTCATCGCGCATTTTTACAAAGATAGTTCCTCTGTGCCTTGGTAATATATGATGACACTATATTCGCATTTTTACAAACCCTGGTTCTTCTATTCGAAGACTTCATCAATATTTTTTCTTGCGGCGACTTCAAAGTATTTGCACAACAACCAACTACGCTTAAAAGCCCTCATGAACGAATCCTTATCCTTACTTGATTTGAGCACCTCTATGCACCTTTTCAGCTTTAGCCCTAACGCCATCCCTATACTGATCATGCATTTTCAGGAACTCATCAACCCTCTCAAGATCAACAGATAAGTCCAAAGGTTTTGTACCATTTTCAAAGCCTAATATCTTGCAAACCAGAGGGCGATCAAATACAATCACCTTGCCATCAAACCTGAACTCGCGCAGCAAAGGATCTGTGTGTTGCATTATCCACTTGACTAGCTTTACTGGAATACAGAATTCAGACATAGACAGTAGAGAACCATGGCCAGACTCCACAATCCATTTCTCTTGATCTTCATCAAAACCATGAACAAGCTCAAGGATCCTATGAACTGAAAATCTGCTTTTAAATTTACCAGTTGCTCCTTTCTCATTACCTAGAAACAAACAAATAACACAAATTCACCTCAGCATGTAGCAATCTAAATTGTTGCAATCTAAAGGATTTCTGATAGAGCATAGTGATGCCTACACACCAGCATAATGGTACCATAATCACCAACTACACATCAATCAAATTGAAACTAGGAAGCATTAGAAACCTTAGCATATTGCTAGCATAATCTACATAATCAGCATCACACCTGCAACTAAAAATCACTCACATCTAAAACTACTACATAACACTCATACCTTGCAGCTTGCAGCCCTTCTTCAGTGGAGATTGCCTCACACTACCTTGCAGCTTGCGGCCCTTCTTCAGTGGAGATTGCCTCACACCAATGTTGCTCTTTCCTTTTCTAGAAGATGGTTGGCCTCTCTTGATCAGCAAAACCTTCCTGACTGCCACACGAGGAGGCCTCGCCCAGCAACAGCATCCTCTCCCCCCTCATCGTCGCCACTACTGGGCTAGTCGCCCCTCCTGGGCGGGATTACCCCGTTCGATCTCGTCCGCATCGCTGGATGCCGTCGCCGAGGCCTCGATCGGGTGCGGCCGTCGCGGAGAAGAAGAGGGGGGGTCCTCGCTACTGGCACGACCGGAGAAGACTGCTCCGGGTCTCGCCGCTCCCGAGCTCGTGCTGGCGCGAGCTGTCGCGGTGGAGAGCGACGAAGGCGGGCGGGCGGACGAGCGCGGTGGAGAGATCCGTGGTGGCGCACGCCGCAGCGGTGCGGTCGCGGGCTAGGGCGCGGCAGAATGGGTGCGGTCGCTGCGGGGAATCGTGAGAAAAGGAAAAGTAAGAGCAGAGTATTCCGTAGCAACGCGTGCGAGTCTGTTGGGCTGTTCGGGCGGCGTCACGGCTCACCAACGGCAGCGTCTATCGTGTGCCATTATAAAAGATCGATATTACCTGTGTACCATCGAATAAACGAGAAGTTCTCCGGTATTCTTACATAAAATTTTCTTTCCCAACATACCACTTTCATCCATTTTACCTGTAACAGCAGCTAACGGCCAGCGGAAATGACTCTTTTACCTTTAGTTGTGGTATCCATCAAATTTTCCTTGTTTCCTCTGGTGCCATTGCCGTGTTGTAAAAAACTTCACTTTTCCTCTATACCACTATGACAACTTGTGTGTGTGCACATAAAAATTCAAATAAATATAAAATCGACAATTGCGACAACCAATAAATATAAACTCAGACAATTGCGACAACCAATATATATAAATTAGACAATTGCGAAAACCAATAAATATAACAATTGCGACAATTTCAATAAATAAAAATTCGATAATTGCGACAACCAGAATACATTCAGACATAAACGAGGTCTAAAATTATCATTCACATACATAGTCAGCTTGATTACAAAGTACAGTTTAGAGACAAAAAATTGTCACAATAACATCATTACTAGTTTAAACATTGTTTGGTCATGCAGACCTCAAATACTACAAAAGCAGTTTGCCATAGAAATACAAACTCATCAAAGATTAAGTTTTTTCTTGCTTCTAGTTCCCATGGCCGGACTAGAAGAGGAACTAAGGACCTTGCTGCGGGTTGACATGGCTGGACTAGCCTTGTTTGGAGTCAGTTTTTTCGAAATGGCCCTCTTCTTCTTGTGCTGTTGCTGACTTGCACTCTTGTCAGCTATGTGCTGCTCACTTGATCATGAAGGGTAAGTAATCGTTAAAGGATCTAGATGATTCGATCCTGCTCCAGATCCTCTGAAAAAAGGAAACGTGAGTAAAAACAGTTAGTTAACCTATTAAAGTGGTGAAAAGACAATTATAGGAAATTAGCTTACCTCACAGAAGGGTCACTAGCCTCAACAGTTGAAGTATTGGAAGTATTCTTTTATTTCTTCGCAACAGTTGATGAGGATGATTTGTTCTTCATTTTCTTTGATAAATCCGCAACAGTAGGTAGAACTAGAAAGACCATCCTTTGTGCAGCTGCTGGCACAATGCTGGTCTCAGTAGTAGCTAGTGCTATCTTCTTTTTCTTCTTTTTAGGTGGACCTCTGCATGGATAGATATGTTAGCAACAATGTAAACATGTAAAAATAATTACAAAGTTTAGGTTCTATGTTACCTTTCAGCAAGCATTGTTGCTATGTCTGCTAGGTCATCATCCTTACAAGTGTACCAATGATGTCCATATTGCTGACAGATTGGACATTGATGCCTACCCTTGGTTCCTTTGCTGCTACCCTCTAGTGCTTCCTTGTATCTTTTTTTCCTTCTCCTACCAGCTGTTGGCTTCAACAATGGAGGATGCATGAAGAAACCATGTTCTGCTTTGGGCCACATAGATTTGTCTGGTATAGCAGGGATTCTACCATCATAGGCAGCCCTGAAGCTCTCTACAGAGTAGTAGCTGTCCACATGATCTTCTATGTTCTCTCTAGGTATAGAGGTGATGAAGGCAATTGCATGCTTACATGGTAATCCAGAAACTTGCCATGCTCTGCATGAGCATGTCCTTTCCTGTAGGTTGACAACAAACCTGTAACTAGAACCTCCTCTTGCCATAACCTTTGTAATCCCATCAAGTGAGCTAGTGACAACATCAATGTCAAGGTTCCTACTTTGCTCCTTTCAGCTTAGTTATGATGTGTGGTAAAAATTTTTTTTCATTTTATTTGCAATTTTTTTTCTCTGGTTCCACTTGATAAGAAGCTTTTGTCTTATAGTATCCATCAAGTCATCTAGATGCATCCCCTTATCATTTTTATCAAATTATTGAAGCTTTCTGCTAAATTATTGGTGACATAGTCAACTTTTGGCAATGTAGAGTACTGATTTCTTGTCCATAGTTTTGTATGGTTTTGCTGTAAGTATAATATTGCTGCTGGATTTGCTGCATCCATGGCTTGGATATGCTTTTCAAACATATATGAATTCCAAGAATAAGCAGAAGCCCATAAATATCCATCAAACACTTTCCCACTGTACCTTTTCTTAAAATTCTGCACCAAGTGCCACATGCACTCTCTATGCTCTGCATTTGAGAATACCTCACTAACTCCTGTCATGACTGCGTGACCATAATCTGTGCAAAAAGGTCAGACCAGGTGGGGTACCTATAGCTTCCTTAAGCCTCTCCATGAACCAAATCTAGTTTTCATTGGTTTCAGAATCAATGACTCCTATTGCAACTAGGTACATCCAGTTATGCACATCAACTACACAAGCAATACATAACTAACCTCTAAATTTTCTAGTCAAGAATATACTATCAACAACCAAATAAGGCCTACAACCTCTAAGGAAACCTTCAACACAAGGTTTCGTTGTAAAAAAACTATTGAACCTGATCTTATCCTCTATTATATGATGATTAATGACAACACAGCTACCATGACATGATTGTTCTATCTGTGCCTTAAACATGTACAAGTGAAAGGTCCTAATGGCTAGAGGGGGTGAATAGCCTAATAAAAATTTCTACAACAACACTTAGCAAACCGGTTAGACAATTATGAGGCGAAGCAAATGTTGCGCTAGACTACTAAAATTGTAAGCCACCTACCACAATTCTAGTTTATATAGTTTCTATCCACATAATAGCTATGCACTATACTAAGTTAGTGTGCTCTCAAAGACTAACTAAAGAGCCACACTAACCAAACTAACAAGCTCTCACAACTAGCTAAACTAAAGAGCTTGACAACTAGTTTACGGTAATGTAAAAAGAGTGAGCAAGATGGTTATACCACCGAGTTGAGGAGTGAACCAATCAATCACAAGAATCAATATCAATGAAGACCAATCACCTCAGAATCAAATGATGAACACAATGATTTTTTATCGAGGTTCACTTGCTTGTCCGGCAAGCTACTCCTCGTTGTAGCGATTCACTCACTTGGAGGTTCATGCGCTAATTGGCATCACCCGCCAAACCCTCAATAAGGTGCCGCACAACCAACACAAGATGAGGATCATACAAGCCATGAGCAATTCACTAGAGTACATTTTGGCTCTCCGCCGCAGAAAGGTCAAGAACCCCTCACAATCACTACGATCGGAGCCGGAGACAATCACCACCTCCGCTCGACGATCCTCGCTGCTCCAAGCCATCTAGGTGGTGGCAACCACCAAGAGTAACAAGTGAATCCCACAGCGAAACACGAACACCAAGTGCCTCTAGATGCAAACACTCAAGCAATGCACTTGGATTCTCTCCCAATCTCACAAAGATGATGAATCAATGATGGAGATGGGTGGGAGGACTTTAGCTAAGCTCACAAGGTTGCTATGTCAAAGCAAATGGCCAAGAGAGTGAGCTTGAGCCAGCCATGGGGCTTAAATAGAAGCCCCCACGAAATAGAGTCGTTGTACCCCTTCACTGGACACAACGCGGGGTGACCGGACGCTCCGGTCATATTGACCGGACGCTAGACCTCAGCGTCCGGTCACGCGATGTGTGCCACGTGTCCCCTCTCTTCAAATGTCGATCGCCCGATCTCAACGGTCAAGTGATGATCGGACGCAGCAACACAAAGTGACCGGACGCTGAGTCCCAGTGTTCGGTCGTTTCCAGTAAGCATCCAGAGATGACTTTTCACGACCGGACGCATCCGATCATGCTCAACCGGACTCACCCAGCGTCCGGTCACATGGTGACTCTTCTGTGTGCTGCCACATTGGCCGGACCGGATGCACCCTGTCAGCGTTCGGTCACCAAGTGATGCAGCGTCTGGTCGAAAACCGACGCCAGCGTCTTTGCTGTATCATTGACTGGACGCACCGGTCCTATCGAGACCAGCATCCGGTCACTTACAATGACCTTCGTCTTTTCTGTCTACGGCGCCGGTGGCACCGTCGGACTGTCCACACTCTACGGGCAAACACTTCACCGGTGAAGTTTCCTACCCTTGCTCAAATGTACCAACCACCAAGTGTATCACCTTGTGCACATGTGTTAGCATATTTTCACAAACATTTTCAAGGGTGTTAGCACTCCACTAGATCCTAAATGCATATGCAATGAGTTAGAGCATCTAGTGGCAATTTGATAACCGCATTTCGATACAAGTTTCACCCATCTTAATAGTACGGCTATCAATCCTAAATGTGATCACACTCACTAAGTGTCTTGATCACCAAAACAAAATGGCTCATATAATTTATACTTTTGTCTTGAGCCTTTTGTTTTTCTCTTTCTTCTTTTTAAGTCCAAGCACTTGATCATTACCATGGCATCACCATCATCATGCCATGATCTTCATTTATTTCACCACTTGGAGTGTGCTACCTATATCATGATCCCTTGATAAACTAGGTTAGCACTTAGGTGAAAGCATCTAGGCCCCTAGTTGGGTTTCGGTGATTAATGACAATACAAGATTACTATGACTAACGCGTGTTTTGCAGAGGCAATAAAGTTAGGTCATGGTAATGGAGATCAATTGGGCAATCAAGGTGGTCATGCCCCTACGATGAAAATCGTTTCGGTTTTCAAAGGATGGACGACAAGGTTAAGGATGACTAGTTCTAAGTGTCGATTGGAGTTGGAGAGACACTTAGAGTAGTTTAGGACTTTGTTTTTCCTTTGGCCGTACTATTAAGGGTGGTATAAACGGGTAGCTTGACCTAGATGAGTCTAGTGAGTTAAGTGTGGTGCACACTTATTAAAACTAGCACTAGGTAGCTCCACAACAGCCCTATGATCCTATAGAGCAAACTTCATTCACATATGATCGAGAGTTGGAAGTGAATGAAGGGTCAAATACTGACCGGACGCTGGCTCCGGTGCGACCGGACGCTGGCCGCAGGGTCCCATCAGTTCATTTGACCGAGGAGATCGCGTCTGGCGCGACCGGACGCAGAGTGGTCAAGTGACCGGACGCTGAGAGGCAGCATCCGGTCGACTCCAGTAAGGTTCTAGAAGAGTGAATTTGCGACCGGACGCATCCGGTCAGAACTGACTGGACCCTGAGGATCCAGCGTCTGGTCGAGTACAGTAAGCATCCAGTGAGGGA